CCACTCGTGACGGACAGACCGATCCCCACCCCCGGACTGACCGACTCCCTCCCACCCGTGACAGACCGACCGATCACCACCCCTGGACCGGCCGACCCCCTCCCACCCGTGACAGACAGCCCCGGACAGACTGGCGTTCCCCGGGACAGACGGACACCCCTTTGGCGGGCGCGGCTCAGGGCGGCGTTCGCTCCTTCCCGCCCTCTTTCCTACAGAGAGAACAACGGAGATCGGGCGGCTGATCAGCTCCTACCTGGTGAAGGAGAAGAACCTGGAGGACCACACCGTCCACCTGCTCTTCTCCGCTAACCGCTGGGAACACGTGTAAAGAGAACGTTTGTTAAGTTGTAAAAGAAAAACGCACGGCGTTGAATCCTCACAGGGTTTTAGCTTGCAGTGGGTACAGTAGGTAGGAGAGTACGATCCTGTTTAGCAAGGGAAACGTGGCTGGAAGCAATGTCTCAGGGACTCTTACGGCTTTGGATTTAATCTTAGATCAAATCCCACAGTTTGGTTTTTTGAAATCATTAGGTGCGATATTTCCAGTCCCTGTGCCATACTGGATTGAAGAACTGGGGAGCTGAGACTGTACCAGCCTAGACGGTGAATTTACTTTCTTTCCTGAAGGAAGAGACCTTGCTTTGCAAGGAAGTCCGTGTGAGGGACAGAGTGCTTAAGGAATTGTGTCCAAACTGCCCCTCTGGCCGAAGGCTGCATTCAGCCGTAAGTGGCTGTCCTTGCTTTTGGCCCCTGAGTCTTCATGTGTGGTGCTAGGGAAATGGGTGTCGGCTGGTTTTTTTACCTGGAAATCTATATTGCGAAATGTTTTAATTGAAAAAAAAAAAACCAAAACTTTGCTGATTCTGCTGTAGTGGCGGTGCCAGGCAAACTGGGAAAGCGTAAGGCAGATGAGCGAGCTGTAATAAGAAATGTCATTGTAGTGAATAAAGGACATTTTGACCGAGGCAGAGTGTATCACAAATGTGCTGCACCACTTAAAAGGGGGAAGAGGACTAAGCTGGTCATGTCTGAATATAGTTCAGCTGTGATCTTGCCTGTAAGCCGCGGAGGTGCCTAGAGCAGCACCCTGCACTGGGGCACCCTGAACTTGGCTGTCTTGAAAGGGTGTTTGCTTAATGTCTCTTAGAGGACAGAACACAAATAGATATTTACCTGCGATTAGCATCACAGATAACCCTGACACTGCTAATGATGGCTGTTAACGATGACGTATGTTGACAGAGAAGCACTGGCCTTATGAGCTGTCTTTTCGATTAACTCCTTTCATTTGTATCACTATAAAGGAGCGTAACTATTTTCTTTTTCCTCCCGCATGGTTTTCAGACCATTGATGAAAGAGAAACTACGTCAAGGGATCACGCTTGTGGTTGACAGATACGCCTTTTCTGGGGTGGCCTTCACAAGTGCCAAAGAGGTGAGTGAGACCTACAGCAGCCCCTGCCCCTCTCTGTACGTGGGGAAGCAGCTCCAGTTGGAGGCCTGATAGAGATGCTGGTGTGCATGCCCGCAGCTCCAGAAGACTGGGGAAATGTGGATTGACATTGAGGGATGGAAGTTTCAGCTCGGTCATTGACATAATCTGTTTGCCTGGGTCCACCCCTTCCCCAGAAAGAGCAGAGAAACTCATTCGGTTACTTTTTGTAAATCTGAACAGACTCCTGGCTGTGGGGAAGCCAGCCTGTTTGACTCTGGAGAATGATTGTATGAGTTTATTTGAGATTCCCCACGCTTGCTCTGGCTGCTGGCCTATAAATTTGCAAAGAATAACAGAACCACGTACGTTGGAAGGGACCTGTGGAAGTCACGAAGCCCAACCTACTGCTGAAGAGTAAGTCTAACATCAGGCAGGCTGCTCAGGGCCACATCCAGCCAAGGTTTGAGTATCTCCAAGGATGTAGATCCACAACCTTTCTGGGCTCTTTTTTCAGTGTTTGCTCACCCTCATGGTAAAAATTATTTTCTTCATTTAGCCTGAACTTCTCATGTCCCCACTTGTGCCTTTTGGCCTGTCCCTGCTTTCAAGACAAGTTAGCTCTGTCAGCAGCCCTTTGGGTCATTCTACACAGCTGTAAGATCCTCCTGAGTCTTGTGCTCATTCTTGTGCTCTGAGGAGGCTGTCCTGCAAGATCAACCAGCTCTCCTGGGGCCTCTTTGCCTTCCATGTGAGTTTGCCAGGGCATCCTGCTAAGAAGTCGCTAATAAACAGACATCTGCTCTCCTGAAGTCCACACTGGCGATTGTTTGTCCTGTTGACTCCTCTCCAGATTTTAAACCACCGTCTCACGTTCGCTGCAGCCAAGGCTGCCCTTGACCTTCACATCTTTGACCAGTTCTTTCTTGCTTGTGAGTGAGAAATCCAGCAGGGCACCTCCCCTCGCTGGCTTATCGATCACCGTGTCAAGAATTTCTTCAGCATGCTCCAAAAACCTGGATTGCTTGTGCCCAGCAGATAGGCAGGTGGTCGACATCCTCCATGAGTACCAGGACCTGCAATTGTGATCCTTCTTCCAGCTGCCTAAAGAAGTTCCTCAACACTGTCTCTTCAGCCAGGCAGTCTGTAGCAGGCCCAACCCCAACATCACCTGTGTTACTCTGCCTCGGCTGTGCTGCTTTCAGGTAAGCCTCCATTATTGTATCATCCCCCAGCCATTTCCTCCTGGCCTCCCATCTTCAGTTCTCTACAGACTGCAAACCTTCCCCCGACATACCTAGTTTAAAGCTCTCTTCACTGGCTTACCAAGCCTGTTTGCATAGATATTCTAGTCCCACTTTGTCAGATGTATCCCGTTCCTGCTCAGCAGCCATCGATCCTCAAATTGCGTCCTGTGGTTGTAGAAGCTAAAGCCCTGCCTGCAACACCAGCTGAGAGTTGACCTACACTCATTCCTGCCCAAGCCTTTCCCTGCTTCCTGGAAGGATTGAGGAGATCCTGGCACCCCGTGCTCTGCACCCTCTCACCTCCATAGCCCTGCACAGTCACTCTTGGTACATTTAAGATCACCCTGATAGTATCACTGGTGCCCGTGTGGATGAGCAGTAAGTGGACAAGCTCCAGTGGTCTCTCCGCAGCGTTGCGGATTCACACGCCCTGATGGAAGTCTTCAAATCTGTCAAGAAGATCCGAAAGTTGGAAAGATTTGTCTCTTGTGTCCAGGCTGAAATTCCTGGGTAGGCTGAGAAAGCATAGGGTAGGTATTTGAAAAGGAGTCTCCATGGGCCCAGAAAGATCCACACTAAAGGTGCATGGTGTTTGTATTTGGGAGCAGCTTTCTTTTGGACTGATCACAGTTTTGGACTGATAACAGCTGTATGGAGACTCAGAATATGACTCGGTATTTAGCTCCGCAGAAGAGATGTTAAAATCTTTAGCTCTCTTTGGCTTCAGTGCACGTGAGAGGTGCGCAGCACCTAGCAAAATCTGGCCCCCCACAATGACCAGGACTGAATTCCCACATGATAAGCTGGGATATCTCCTTTTCAGTTTGTAAGCCTGTGCTTGGTCTTTTGGGCTGCATCTCTTCTCTGGCTGTTCCTTCCCCACCTCCCTATCTGGCTAACTAGCCTCTTCCCCTTCTTCGCATTCCTTTCTTTCACCTCAAACTCGGTTGTCTTTGTTTGGGACAGAATTTCTGCCTGGACTGGTGCAAACAGCCTGATGTTGGACTCCCAAAGCCAGATCTGATTCTGTTTCTTCAGTTAAGCCCGGAGGAAGCAGCGGAACGAGGGAACTTTGGAAATGAACGTTATGAGAGCAGCTCCTTCCAAGAGAAAGTTCTGCAGTCCTTCTCTCATCTGATGAAGGACAAGACATTAAACTGGAAGGTGAGGAAATAACCCTAACAAGCCTGTCACAGACCAGGGTGGGGGTCTCTCATGAGAGCTCCCAAACTGTGCCCATCACATCCCTGTGCTCCCCCTTCCTGCTCCTGGTCAGGGGAATGCGTTGGGGATCAGCTAGAGGCAGTGTGGCCTGTGGCTGAGAGGACACCTCCCTGTTCCAGGACACCCTACGGGGCCCCATTGGGGTGGGGGGGAAGATTTTTGGTTGGTTGGTTGGTTTTGCAAAAAAGCTTTCTGGCAATCATTCTATTTCTTAAAGACAAACTGACAAACCTGGGTAAGAAGCAGTGGGACACACCCATGCTCTTCCCTGGCAGTTTCCTTGGTATCCTGCAGCATCTGCCAAGGATTCTGGAATCCTTGGAGTTTTTTTGGGGCCCTCCTGCAGCTTGTGTCTCTCACTGACGATCATCTTCCTTCTCACATGGCCAGTTTCCATCAGCATTTGCTGTCTTACTGCTACCAGAATTCTCTCCAAATACCCGATCTTTTTTGTTCCATGCTGCTGCATCGCTTTTCCTTCTTGTTCATCTCTTGGAGCTGTTTGCAGAGGGCTGCACAGTCAGCAGCCTTATCCCAGAAGAGGAAGCGTTCTCTATTTATTCTGTGTGTAGATCACCTAGGCTGAGGTTTTCTAGTGCAGGCAGCCTGTTTATAATCTCCATCACCCTGTCAGTGCTCAATCATGAGATATAGGCAGCATCTTCTGTAGCTTTCACACAGACATAGGAGGACACAGATTATGGATAAGTCCCTACCAGAAGCTGGAGATGTATACAGATTTGCCACATGATCAGACTGCGTAAGGTAGACATAATTCTTCACAGCTTGTTTCAGGTAAACATGATTCTGTAAAAGTTTTTTTTGTGTACTGTCAGAACCTAAAGCACCTAAATGTACAACAATCACCAAACTAGGACTTTTATTCCAGTAAAAGTTATGCTAGGAAATTGCCTTTCCTACATCATGACGACTGGAAAAATAGGCTGACAGAAAACGTGTACCATAGCACAAAACCTCGAAAGAATTCATTTAACAAAAAAAGTATGCTGTCATGAGAGACAATATGGAATTCGTGTATAGTCTGCAAACCCTGATTTTTTCCAGAGATGCCAGCAGTGGAACACATTTCTTTTATTACCTGTCTTCTGTTAATTTGTCTTCTATTCCTTGCTTGAAAGGAGTTTTCACTTAAAGTATCACCAACGTGTCTGTTTAAAATACTCCAAAGTGCACAACTATCAAACAGCTATACATCAGAACAGATGATGAAGAGATGACAGGTGTCCCTGAAACGAGCACGGAAATCCAGTTTCAGTACACATTAAAGGTATAGTTAGCATTCCGGCCTCTTTGCCCCTCTGTATCAGATAGAATAACAGACATGAAACGTTGCCGAAGACCGTTCAGTCCAAGGCATGAAACGCAGCTCAGTACCATTGGTCACACAAATAAATTGAGATCAGCAAGCTGCTTGAGGACATTGTGTGAGCACAAAGGTGGGGTGCTGGCTGTGCTGTAATGGAAAGGCTACCATTTAGTCAGGAAGTCTGTTTATTGCGTATCCTCACAGCCTGCTCTTTCTCAGCAATGCTGCATGGGCCAGCGTTGCATAGGTCACTGTGACAAATCTGCACCTCTCTACATCTTTTCACCAAATCCTTTCTTCATCTTGGTCACTCCCTCAACCACACGGGAGTGATGCAGCTATTCTTTAAACATCAGGCTGAGGAACACCAGCATCGTATAGCTCTACCACCTTTACTGACCTCAGCTTGCAGTATTTAAAAAAAAAAAACACACCAACAAAGCTGAAACTAGAACATTGCATGATGGAATTTTAAAGGTTCCTACTATCATGGGTGGAGTTTATTTTGAAGAACCACTAAAGGATCAACACACTGATGTTTCTGGGGGACTACAGTAGAGGATGAAGAACATTTACCTGCCTTTAGGCCATAAGCCCTAAAGGCTGTCAGCAAACAAGATGCAGCTGCAGCAGTTTCTTCTGTTTCCCTTCATCCAGCCCCACATCTTCTTAAATGTCTATTCCTAAATAAAACAGATTTTTCCAATTCCTCTCCAAAAATAACGCACAGGAGGTATAATTCGCTTCTTTCACTGCTCACGAATAGTAACAATATTGAGTAATGGGGGGAGCAGATATAACAGCAAGGTGAGTTTTTCTCATTTGGTGTTGGTAATTGAGGAACATGTTTCTGTATTTTTTGTCTTGGAAACAGACAATAGATGCTTCAAAGAGCATAGAAGACTTGCACAGAGAAATCAAGTCCCTTGCAGAGGAAACCGTGCAGGAGGTTCAGAATAAACCTTTGGGAGAACTCTGGAAATAAAACTTTATACAGGTTATTCTTTTAGACCTAAGGGAAAACTCACCTTTTGGATCTTCCTCGCTTGCATAACTCCCCTACATCACCTTCCAGTAACTACAGCTTAGATCCCGTGTATTCTTCTGGATCCACCACGGGGCTGATGTCTTTGTGATTTTATCTGCTCCTCCCCTCCATCCTGCATAGTTCCTACTGTAGTTTATAAATGAACACGTGATGAGCATGTAACAAAATCCTTATAAAAACTCCTGTTCTAGCCCCAGTCCTGTAGTGCAGAGGTGGATATGGAGCCCAGGGCTGCCCCTGGACACAGGCAGCAGCAACAGGCAGGCAACAGCCTTCCCAGTTTTGGGGAACCACCATGTTTCTGATTCTTCTGCCTCTCTAGTAAATGATCCCCTGTGCTGAAACACAGGGGATTTGTAGAGGGCTTGCTAATAAATTATTCTTTTAAACATTTTGTACGGGGCACTTTTTTTTTTTCAGTATGATCATTTATCTTCTAGAAGGATATCTAGGAGGTAGAGGTGCTGTGGTTCAGGCGCTAAATCCAGGGAGAGCGGTTTGCTAGAGCTGTGGAATGAAGGGAGAGATGAATTCAAGTCGGCTCCCCAGCTGTTCAGTGGGAACGATACAGAAACTGAACTGCTATGAGCAGGCAGGAGTCCGAAATAGATGCATTAGCTCATAGCAAGGCCAGTTTGAAGGGCGAGTGGCACATAAATTATTTTAGACTGGTCAAGTTACTCCTGTGGCCAAGATCAGAGGAATAGTTACCTGCAACTCCTACACAGACCCCAGTGCAATTTAAACAGCCCAGCACAGGTTGCCAAACCAGATCAGCTATGAGTTCATCTAAGTCATCAGTAATGACCAGCGAACTACAATAAACTGGAGCGTTAAATCGAATCATTTGCAAGGTGCACTGAGATATGGGGATGACCAGGAGAGTTAATGTCTATCTGCTGGACAGTTAACTCGCCTTCTAGCAGTGTGGACTGGACTGATCTCCAAGCTGGCTGATACAGAGACTAAATCCTGCTCTAACTCTTAGAGAGAGGTGGATTGAACTGATCCACTAGCAGGGAGAGGAAGGTAAATGTTTAAAACAAAATTGCTAATGCAAGCATCAGATGAAATGGAAAAAGCTGTTGCCTTCACTCTACAGCTGCACAGCACTTGGTAGCAGAAACACTCCTTGTGAAGGAGTGAGCACCTCTAACACTGAAGCAACACTGGAAGAAGACACCACACAGAGAAGTCATTTAATTCATATTAGCTAAAAAGCCAGAAATATCTGCTAAAGATCTAAGAAAGCTGAGCTTAGCTCTGTTACTGGGGTTGTGTTAACACTCAGGTGAAATCTTGTCTGGCTGAGCTGTCCCTAACCATAAAAGCATGAACATGAAATAAGTAGTAACTCTTCTTGTGTACAAATCAAGAGGGGGATGTGTCCCGAGTGACTAGCCCTCAACAAAAAGGACCTGCCAATCGCAACAGAGGGTGCAGTCTTCCGATTCAACTGCTGTGTCCTGCCACTGCACAGCAAAACAGGAAAAATGGTTGTTGAATTGACTATGTTTCTGTAACATTGGCTACTGCAGAGCTGGGGTTTAAAAGGCTACCTGGAAACTGAAGCCATGAAAAGCTATCAGTTAAATAGCTAAAGAGTGGGCACACAACCTTAAAGGAAACAAGTTTCACTTTCCACCTACTTTGGAGCCTCTGCTTGGCTCCTTCCCCTCTACCTCAAAAACACACATGGCAGAGACTCACCAAAAAAGCACATGCAGTCTTAGAAAGGCTTACACTGTTTTAGAAGCAGAGAGATGCTGCACCGCTCAGCAGGGACAGCCTTCAAGTATTGTTTTGTTGCCCCACGTTCATACAACTTAAAAGGCAAGTAGCAGAATTGCTACGGAAGTGTTTTTTCCTTTTCTGCCAGCATGTCTGCAGCTGCTCACCCTCTGGGGCAGAAACAACAACTGGGCAGTCCCAAGCAGCCAGCCTCTATTCTACTGGATACACGAAAAGGAAGATAAAGTCACCGTTGCACATAGCTCAAGTCTTGCTTCCATCTGCCTTCATTACCCTTAAAAGGTAAAATCTGCAATCATTTCGACAGCGTTCCCAACCAGCACTGCAGGGTTACTAGATACCACCCGCCACCACCTTCAATTCACATGCAGGAACATTAGGACAGGCAAAGATTTTAGATCTCTTTATTCAGATACAAATTGAAAGCAGATGAATGGAGCACAGCCCCACTTCCTCTGCTGCCTCTTCCCCTAACTACAAGAGAGAAGAGGAGAAGCAGGCAGAAAGCAGCAAATAATAATTTAGTGACAGAAGCGTTGTGGTTCCCAGTTCAAACCTCTGCTTTTGGATAGCACAGGGACAGTTAGAGCATCAGTAGGTCAGTCACAGGGGAAATGAGTCATTTCTAGCCAGCTGTCACCACCCTTGGGCACAAAAGCATCAACTGACAGGTTCCAATCCTAAATGTACAAAACAAAGCCTTGTAAACAGGTTTGCAATCTGCAGCATGCACTAAGGAAACTACTTCAGCAACTTCTGTTGCAGTTTGCATTAAGACAACTCGCCTCCACGGTTTACCTTTCTCTGAATTCTGTGCAGAGAAGGGCCCCAGGCAGAGCTATCATCTTAAAGTAGCTAAAATTTCCAGTATAATTGGACCTTCTCAAGGCATTCTCTCTTTACTGCCCACTTTGGGATGATTACTTGAAATGGGTTTCTCCGGTTTAGCTCCTACAGTACCTTTGTGCATACTCTGCTGGAAGGGGGAGCTGGCAGAAGACAAAAGGAAAGGTACCCACGCAGCTAGGAAGCCTACTTGACCTCCAGGCACCTTTTCTGATTTGGAAGGGGAATGTCTAACAGGAGGAAGTTGAAGGAACTGCTGACCCACCCACCGAGAATACCTTGAGGAATTTTACAGCTCACATTTTTGGTACCGACAGGATTAATTCCCTAGACGCCATGCCAGCACACTGGGGCGCGGGCACAAGCAGGCACACGACTGGCACATCTCAGTTGTGCTGTTTCACCTCTCCCAGCTGTGGACTTTTTTTTTCCAGGGCTATGGAATCCAGTTCTCTGCTCGAAGCAGCCTTCCTGAAGATACTTGCTGGATTAATCCATTGTAGAAGCACAATGCTTTATCGACTCACCGAGCAAGAACATGCACATTTTCTATTCTCCTTCCCTTCTTCCTGCTATTTAAACCGAGATTGAGATGGTCCAACTCAGCAGCATAGGTCTGCTCCACACTTTCCCAGACAGCCTTTCGCTTATTGAATTACCAGTCACTTGTAAGTTCCCTCAACTTCCTTTTCATAGGATGTGAGCAGGAGAGGGGTCCTACGCCCGCGAGGAAGCGCTGTGTACTGCAAAGCGTGAACTGGAGTTGTACTGTAGGAAGCCCGGCCACCTGCACTCCAGGGGCTTCACAGCTCTCTGGTTGGAACATGTCTGCTGTTCCTTTGCGTTGTGAGCTGCAGTCCAAGTTGGCCAGTGAGAAGAGAAGCTGCTAAAGGAATTAACTGTACATTTCACCTGCTAAATGACGGGTGGCTCTATTTAAGCTTCAGAATGGAGTCCCCATGTAAGGATTTAGAGCTCTAACGATTTCTATGCCTCCCCCAGAAGGCCAACTGACCTGCTGATGTAACAGATAGGCTTTGAACTCCTAAGCACCACTGCATCCACTTCCAGCAACTGTTTTCCGCTGAGAAATTCTGACTCCAGCCAGTAAGGTTGTAACACCCACTTGGTTCTTCATCCCAACGCAGACAATGCGCGCTCCACTCAGAGGCTGCACAGATGCCAGGATGGACAAGAGGCGGGGATGGCAGCAAGCGCCTATGAAAACCGGTAGCCCCAGGCTCTCGAAGGAGCTTCCCTCCCCCCCTTCTCCCCACACATAACACAAATTTGCAGAGTCAGTTTCCTATTTGTTTTCAAAGGGATAGGATTTCGAAGTCTTCATCTTCCGAGTCAAAGAACCTTTCCAATCTGTCGGCATCGGAGGAGTCTACAAGAGAAAAAGAAAGCACTACCTCCATGGGACGCACTGACTGCTCAGCATCAGCGAGACCAGCAGCTGGAGGGCAGCGGAATTTGAGTGTCAGGGGCCCCATGAGATCCAAGAGACTCCGTGACACCCCTGAGTGAAGGCTGAGGAGGGATGAGAAATAGCATATATCAACAGCATGGAAAATACACTGGAGAGAATTATATGGTGCGCAGAAGGTGCGCTATGTTTGACAGATCCCGACACAACTCTGTGCTGTGACTGTTTTGTACAACCTTCCTGTGCAGCAGCTCTGTATTAGCAGGAGACAGTTCTGCCTCATGAGGCTCAAAACAGGAGAACTGGCCCAGGTCTGGACTAATATCCATGAAGATTTCTGGCCCAAATAAGTGATACAGGAACATTTTTCTCCCCATGTATTAGAGACTTGTTTTCTGTTACAGTTGCCTTTGATCCAACTACTGGGGAATGTAATTACACAACATGCACTCTCCCAAAAGTAATTAGTACAGTCCATTTTGTGAGGAAGGGTAATGTACTTGATCCCTCCTGTCCATCCTTCCAACTCTATGGAGGAGGGACCACACACCTAGAGGGGAAGCAACTTTACCATAGGGAAAATTCAGGTGAGAATGTATGGGCAAACTGGGGAAGTAAAGGAGAAACCTACATTAACTCAGGCTTCAAGAAAGCACACGCTGGACTTGGCAGAACAGCCAGCCAAAAGCTAAACTGCAATAACTGATGGCTGGGGATAGAGGAGAAGTGCAAGGCTGCAGATCCCCCCCACAGCCCCCGAACATTTTGTGACAAGCTTTAATCCCCCAGTAGTGTGTGCTAATGCCTAATGTCACTGTTCTTGACCGAACTGCAGTGCCCATGAGTGCTGGCAGCACAACTTCCAGAGGTGCTCCTCAGAGGAGCAGCCCCCCCTGTTCACTTCAGTAAC